TGGGCGACAGAGAGAGACTCCAACTCAAAAAAAAAAAAAAAAAATCTCAATGTCATTTCCTCAATTGTAGTAAGTGTTGTTCACTTTAACAAACAAAGGTACTGGTTTATTTATTTATTTATTTTTTGAGTTGGAGTCTCACTCTGTCGCTAGACTGGAGTGCAGTGGCCGCTCCCGGCCACACTGCAACCTCAACCTGCTGGAACTACAGGCGCGTGCTACCATGCTCGGCTACTTTTTGATTTATTGTAGAGATGAGGTCTCGCCAAGTTGCCCAGGCGGGTCTCGAACCTCTGGGGTCAGGCAATCTTCTCGCCTCAGCAAAATGTTGGGATTATAGGCTGAGCCACCAAGCCCGGCCAGGTACTGGTTTAAATCCCATCTCTGGTCAGGCGTGGTGGCTCACACCTGTAATCCCAGCATTTTGGAAGACTGAGATGGGAGGATTGCTTGAGGCCAAGACCAGCCTGGGCAATATGGTGAGACATCTCTAAAAACAAACATATACAAACAAATAAATAAAATAAATTAGCTGAGCGTGGTGGCACAAGCCTGTACTCCCAGCTGCTTATTAGGAGGCTGAGGCAAAAGGATCACGGAAGCTCAAGAGGTCGAAGCTGCCGTGAGCCATGATCATGCCACCGCACTCCAGTTTGGGGAATACAGTAAGACCTCAACTCAAAAAATAAATAAATAAAAAAAATTGTGGTTCTGTCACTTATGCTAGCATATGACCTTGAGGAGTTACTCAACTCCCAAGCTTTCTTTGTAAAACTAGATTAACACTAACATAGACCTTGAGTTATGGAAAAATAACAAATATTGGGTGCTTTGCACTGCCTGACACACACTATACTTGTGCACTCACCATTGTCACCTCCATCTACAACCTGAGTTTGTTAAAATTATATAGATAATTTAAAAATAAATGAGGACATTACACATGTGTCCAAATCCACAGAATGTATAACACCAAGAACGAACCCCAAGGTAAACTGTGAACTCAGGCAATCCTCTCGTCTTGGTCTCCCCAAGTGCTGGGATTATAGGTGTGAGCCAGAGCGCCCAGATGGAGACCTTGACTTTCTGCTCAATTTTCCTGTCAAGCTAAAACTGCTCTAAAAAATAATGTTGATTTAAATAAATACATGGGAGCCCTTCTTTACATTAGTTGAAGACTGCCAGCTAACAAATGCAGAAGAATCACACAGTGACTACAAAATCACTGCTCCCAACCATCAATGTTATAAGGGATCCAGCCAAGGCTCATCAATAGATGCCAAAACCAGAGTAAAATGGTTTTGGGGGAACAGAATATTCCACATGACCTCAAATTACCACCCCAGAGATGAGTATTAATCTAAGGGGGAATATCCTTCTTTAAAAAGAAAAATGTTAGTCACCACCTTAACCTGGCAACTGAACTCAGTATTATACCAATAAAGGGACACACATTTTCACATGGATTCTTCAAATATGTCCTGGTCATGAAAGACAGAATAGTTGGACTCATGAGACATGACATCTAATGCTGCATGTGATCTTTGGATCCTAGGACAAATAACTATGAAAGAAAAGGCAGATGAAGAAATGTGAACATGGTATAAATGTATCAATGTCAAATTGCTTAGGAGGGAAGTTGCTTAGGAGGGAGAGTGGTAGTCAGGTGTGGTGGCTCATGCTTATAATCCCAGCCACTTCGGGAAGTGGAGGCATGAGGATTGCCTGAGCCCAAGGGTTCAAGATCAGCCTGGGAAACTTGTCAAGACCTCATCTCTGCAGTAAATAAAAAAATTAGCCGGGCGTGGAGACATGGGCCTGTGGTTCCAGTTAACTGGAAAGCTGAGGCGGAAGGACTGCCTGAGCCCACCAGGTCGAGGCTGCAATGGCTGTGAGCATGCCATTGCACTCCAGCCTGGGTGACAGAGTGAGACTTCTACTCAAAAAAAGGAAGGGCAGCGGTATTGCTGTCAGAACGTCCCTGCTCTCAGGAGAGACTTACAGCAGTTAGGGGTGGAAGTGTCAAGATAGTCTACATTTATTTTTTAAAAGTTCAGTATAAAGGATATGTGTGTAGGTATGTATATACATAAGAATTAAGCAAATGTGGCAAAATATTAACTTGTGGATCTACCAGTGCCATCCCATTACATCACTCTTTTTTATTTTTTTTTTTGAGTTGGAGTTTCACTCTGTCGCCCAGACTGGAGTGCAGTGGCCGTTCCCGGTCACCGCAGCCTCGACCTGCTGGGCTCCAGTGATCCTTCCGCCTCAGCCTTCCAAGTAGCCGGAACTACAGGCGCATGCTACCACGCCCGAATAATTTTTTGAGTTTATTGTAGAGATGAAGTCTCGTTGCCCAGGCGGGTCTCGAACCCGCGGGCTCAGGCAATCCACTCACCTCAGCCTCCCAAAGGCGCGGGATGACAGGCTGAGCCACCGAGCCGGCTGCTACATGTTTTTAAAAAAATGCAAAGTGAGGGTGAGGCTGGAAAGAGGTGATAAACTCACAGGTGTTTGATGTGTGAGTATCTGATGACTAAGGAAAATGGAGGTGGGAAGGCTTGATAAACATTTGCTGGAGAACCTGTGGAGGCTGCCTAATGTAGAACAAAAAGTTAAGGTCACACTTGATTTCTGGCTCTGGCTTCCGGGAAGACAGAAAAATCTGGTTTGAGGCAGACAGTATTTGAAAAGCTAGCTATTATCAAGTGGACACACCTAACAGCTAGCTCTCGATACCATTCTAGAGCACAGAGAAAGCAAGACATCCACTTGTTCAAGGTGTCCTAGCCTCATTGAACTGCTAGTGGCTTAACAAACTCCAGACTGTGAAATACTTACCAAAGCAGTACCAAATATGACTTCAGTCTACCTGATGTAGTCAGTTCCACAGGACTTTTAGCTTTCCAAACTGTTCGATTAAGCCACCACAGGGCTGTGGGGTTGGCCATCTAGGTAGAATTTTTTTTTCCTTAGAAAGCAGGATTTAGTGATAGGACAAAAAAAGCTCCCCACAGCGGGGGGGCTCCGAGGAGGTTGCCCCATTCAGGTAGAATTTAACCACCTAACACTGATGAAGTGCCTACCGTGTGCCAGCGATTTGAAACAAGGGTGACTAAGACAAACCCATGGAGCTCACATGCACTCAGGATGATACAATTCTGGTACCCACCAACTGGTTTTTAAAAATCAATGACAGAGCCGGGCTGGATGGCTCAGTCTGTCATCCTGCGCCTTTGGGAGGCTGAGGTGAGTGGGTTGCCTGAGCCCGCGGGTTCGAGACCTGCCTGGGCAGCGAGACCTCATCTCTACAATAAATCAAAAAGTCAGCCGGGTGTGGCAGCTCACGCCTGTAGTTCCAGCTACTCAGAAGGCTGAGGCGGAAGGATCACTGGAGCCCAGCGGGTCGAGGCTGCAGTGGCTGGGAGCGGCCAGCACACTCCAGTCCGGGTGACAGAGTGAGACTCCAACTCAAAAAAAAAAAAAAAATCAATGACAGAAGGCTCTGAGCTAAAGTACCTGATAGCTCTGACAGCAGACTAAGTTTCAGAGGGGACTATTATGTAAACAAACTGCTACATGAAAGCAGGCACCTTCTTAACTAGACTAAAACAACCCAAGGGGATAAGACTCACTTGACACACCAGCCAGCCTGCGGCAGGACCTGCCAAATCTCTCTACTTCAAATCTCTTATCTAATATTTTATAAATATTTCAAATCTTGATTTCAGGAAGACATTTGCAATTGGCCATCAAAGCACTTCACAGGTTCTGAGGGTGACAGAAAAGCACAACACGATTCCCAAGTGCCTCTGAGGAGGCACACGGCTGGCGGGAGGGGCTGTCCAGCGAGCACGGATCACCGAGTGGGGCCGATTCACAACGCATGCCCGAAGGCCAGACCAGGCCGCCAACGCCCAGGCCGCTCACCTGCCACCACTGGGAAATGATCCCTTCTGCTCACTACTGCTTTCACTACCCTTTGGGGACAGTCTGCTGGTCCTTAAAACAATATTTGAAAGTCTTAAGGCAAGTTACACTCCGAGTAACTGAGGAAACCCAACTTTCAGCTCCAAACATCACCAAAATCCTTTACACAGACAGATCGCCTTTCCTCGCTCAAACTAAGCAAATATCTGAATGACTGTGAAGGGTGGAGCACAGCAGTATAGAAGGACAAACAACAGAGTGGGGCCAGGCATCTGGAAAGAAGAAATCACACCACCAGCCAAAGTGCAGAAAATCCGGGCGACAGCAAGGAGAACACACTCCCCAGGGTGGAGCAGGTGGGAGCCAGGGGGTCCGGCACACTCCACAGCTACGGGAACGTGGACTCCGCGTGCTGGACAGCAGACAGGA